CGAGATCGCTGACCATGCAGGAAGATTATCAGGGGGTGGTGTCTAGACCCCGTGAACCCCCTCCCCGTCTTTGGATCTGCCTCTGCCTGGCATCCCTTTTCATTTGGGAGATGCCTCCGTGTGATTAAATATGACAATATGGAGCTCTGTATTTACCAAATTTGAGCATACACCAAACTGTTTTGTTAACAAACTCTCGACACATGATTCAAATTTGATTCTTTGAATATGACATGAAATCGCTTATCAAATTTACAAACCACGCCGCCAAACTTGTGAACACAGCTTCAATCTGTCATTTTTGTTCCCGCTCTCTTTTCCGTTATTCAATTTTCGTCAGCAATTTCTTAATACTCTACCGCACACGCGCTGGAACTCCTCCGCTTTCCCACCTCACGATTTGCATTCTAACTCAATTTTCCTCCCCTCGAACTTTCTTCGCTCACGTTCCCGCCAAATTTAGCGCGCGCCACATCTTCTCCTCCTTCGCTTCCGCCATTTATAGCCTCATATTCAATCGTTTGTGTCTTTATTCTCGCACGGCGTGCCTAATTTGTTTGCCCCGTGTGCATATACAAATCAAATTAACACGGCTAACAATGTGCGCTAGGAAAACAGAGCATTTAGCGAGTCAACATTGACTTTCTTTTGCTCTCTCCACGCGCGCTGAAATTCAATGACTTTTGATGAAGACTCGTCACGATTCATCAGCAAAACTTCCTTCCCATTTCCAATTTTGCGACACAATGACATTTTATAAAGGGCATGTGGTATTGTATTTCGGATCATATATTTCATAGAGTATTTTCTTTGTCTTGAATCAATAAATAATAACGAACTGACTGCTACTGACATGGCAAAAGAGCGCGATTCCGCGTAGATAAGTAACGCGCACTTGTGAGGATAAGAAAACGAATGTTTCTGTCACTTGGTAAGGAGGTTGGATTGTGGAAGACTGCAATCATGACGATATGACTGGTGTAATGCGGATGATGATGATAATCATGATCATGGCGGAGAAGGAGAAGAAATGGAGGAGCAAGAGGAAGAGGAGGAGAAAGAGAAGGAGGAGGAGGAGAAGAAGAAGAAGCAGAAGAAGAATACAATAATAATAATAATAATAATAATAATAATAATTATAGTAATAATAATAATAATAATAAGAAGAAGAAGAAGAAGAAGAAGAAGAAGAAGAAGAAGAAAGAAGAAGAAGAAGAAGAAGAAGAAGAAGAAGAAGATGAAGAAGAGGAAAAAGAAGAAAAAGATGAAGAAGCAGATAAGGAAGAAGAATCAAAACAACAACAACAATATGATAATGATGAGGATAAGGATGACGACTGCCACGACGGCGACGACGATGACCGTGATTGAAGTGACGAAAACACAAATTGACTGTATGGAAGGGGTCGATGACGAAGTTGCTATTCGATATGAGGCAATATTAATCGTATGACTTGGAGGATAAACTACCAAGCAACAGGCTTCTTCACTCAATGTTGGCAATGGTGATTTTGGTAACTGGTGGCGGCTTTTAGGATGGTGGTAGCGGTATCGCTATGGAGGTGGTGTGGAGTTGATTGGTGGTGTTGGAAGCGTTAATTCTGCCACAGGACCTAAGGACCAAGTCTACGGATTACTTTTGCACAGTCTCGGAGTGTCCCCTTTTGGACTGTTACTTGTTTTTCCAAAGGTTCACGTCTGAAACACAAGTGGGTTCATAATTCAAAAAAATGAAACAGACTTCGTTTTCCCAAACATTTTTTTGATGCATTACTCTGAAGGTTCGTTATTGAAAAAATGAAAAATTTCATAATTCTAAAGTTTCGAAATGCCGAAAATGAAAAAAAATTCAGTATTTCGAAAATAAAATGGATCTCATGATTTAAAAAAAGATACTGGGTTCATATTCCAAAAAAGATGAATAAGGGGTTCATTACTCTGACGGTTCGTAATTCCGAAACGATACTTGATTTTATTTGATTTCCGAATCATCAACATTTTTGCACTTTCGGAATTAAGGCCTTTTCTCAAATTTCCGGAATAAAGAAACCTTACATAATTTTTGAATTACAAACCCTAATTTATTTCGGAATTACAAAACCTTTTTCATTTCGGTCGACTAAGTATAAACGAATGACAAACCCTCGGAGTAACAAACCTTCGAAACTACGAGCCTTCGAAAAAAAATGGATTTCATATGATATGATATAATAATGTAAAGTCCAATATCCAAAGATATTAATGAGTGCTTCCAGCAACCCCCCCCCCCCCCTTCACTCAGTATTTCCTCTTCTTGTAGAAAAAGAAAAATATAACTATAATAGTATAATCAGTTAACAGGTCTTCTTCCGAAAGAAAACTTGATAATATCTTAATCGGTTTCGTACTATAAGAGGCTTATAACCTTGTTTACAACAGGAAATTATCAGATGACATCGATAAAGACGGCGAGTTGTTCTGCTCCAAGCTTTGGTGTTAACGCCCCCAACGTTGGCATAATGTTGATTCGTTGGGCACGTTCACAAGCACAACGCTTGCCACTGCATGAGTTCCAACTTGAGGAAATATATCTTGGACCCCGGTGATGTAGAACTTCATTGATTCCCACTTTTATGAGTGATATATGTGTGTAGTGTAATTTGTATTTTTCTTACAGCCCGTTTGTAGAGGTACATTATGTCGGTGGAAAAGAAGGCTTTTGATTGAAAGTCTTGCCCTCTGTGGTAAAAGCAAGATAATCGAAAACGACGCCTTGTCTTATATGAATCCTATAATTTGTCATGTTAATGAAGAGAACTACGACTTTCTTCTGTAATTTATTATATTAAAAGAAAGAAAACAAAATAATTTTAAAATGGAATGTCAACCATACATGGACAGGTTCATTGGTCATAATCTCTCTCTCTCTCTCTCTGTTTTCGGCAATACATTATTGTGCTGAATTATACAGGTCCAATAAAGCTAATTGCCTTTGTTCAAATTCATTACTTTCTGCATATTAACACAAAAAGACAAGGTTTCTCAAATGATTTATATGGTTCATGTGTTTATTTAATCATTTTTATATATATATTTTTTTTACCCAGTTGCTGTATCTCTCTCACTCTCGATCTCTTCCTCCCTTCCCCTTTCTCTCCTTCCCTTCCTTTCGTTTCACACCTCCCCCCTCCCCTCTCTCTTCATCTCTCTCTCTCTCTCTCTCTCTCTCTCTATATATATATATATAATAATAATATATATATCTTTTTCTCCCTCCCTGCCCTCTCTCTCTCTCTCTCTCTCTCTCTCTCTCTCTCATTTTCACCCCTCTCTCTCTCTCTCTCTCTCTCTCTCTCTCTCTCTCTCTCGCGTTTTCCCCTTTTCACCCCTCCTGTACTCCCAGACGTCCAGTTTCTACGTGTTTGTGACTGCTCTGAATACTCACGAATCCGCTCGTTCGAGATATAACCCAATGAATATGGAGATGGCAAGAGAAGGGAATCATTATGGTTGTGTCCCACGGGGGGCAACGATGGACATTTAAAGCAGGACAATTGTCAGGGAGGCGACCAAAAAGAAAATCGTTTAAAGGTCTCTTAAAGACGACAGCTTGAATTTGAGAGCGCCATTTTCGGGGCTAGACAGCTAGAGCTGCATTTTAATAGTCGTTCGGAGCAGAAAATGAAAACAGGGAGGGGGGGAGGGAGGGAGATGAAGAGAAAGAGGAAGGGAGGGGAGAGAGAGAGAGAGAGAGAGAGAGAGGGGGGGGGGGGGGGGAGGGGAGAGAGAAAGAAAGAGAGAGAGAGAAAGAACGAGAGAGGGAGACAGAAAGATAGAATGAAAGGAACTGGAGAAGAGGGAAGGGGGAAGAGAAAAAAGGTAGATGGGGGAGAGACTCTGGAGAGAAAGACAAAGATAGGAAGATAAAAAGAGCGAGGGACAGGGATAGGAATATATTACATAGTTCTCTCTATCTCTCTCTCTCTATATATATACATATATATATATATATAGAGAGAGAGAGAGAGAGAGAGAGAGAGAGAGAGAGAGAGAGAGAGAGAGGGGGGAGAGGGGGAAAAGAAAGATATAGAAACAGATTTAAAAAATAGAGATAAAGAGAGAGATTGGGGGGGGGGGGTGTACATCTTGAATAATTAGAGCAGATCTTGTATATGCCCGTCGCCAGATGGAGGTGCTTAACGAAATCTGGATTAACTAAATGGGCCGCATAGTCTACCTCGTTATTATACTCCTAATCCCTCTCCGGCATTTCGCGGGCATTAGTCAAATGCTATTCTATACCCGCTAATGGGATAGAAATAATAAAATATCGCGGTTCCCCCTTTTTTCCGCTCGACGTGGAATATGTTGCTTATTGCTCAGAGATCACCATTAAAAGCAAGGGGATTTAGGGAAAAATTCTACAGTTACATTCCAGTGAGAATACAATAAGAATAGCTGTGACTATCCAAGATGACTAATGATTATATGAGACATGGTATTACTTGTCAAACGTGCACCCTAGCTCGTGTTGTAATATTAGTAAAGAGGCACTTAGGAATATAGGATATAGTCACTCTGTAAAGCTTTTAAAAGCAAAATTTTCATAATCTGTTTCGCTTCATGAATTGTACATCCCCGAGCTAAATGACATGTTGTTGTTTTTTTCTCTTTCTTTCTCCTGATGACTTTCGAAAATGAATATAAGTTACAGGTGAAAATCAGATAGTCTACGTAAGGATAACTCAACATCCTTTAATATTACAACAAGACTCGGGACTTATATAACATCAGCATCACAATTACCATGGTTACAAGTTCTATCCATTGACCACACCCATCAACATGATTTCACCATCACCTCAAATTTTCATCAACACATTATCAGTCACTACCCTTTGCCTGGCACCAGTGTTCACTTAAAGTACTACAAATTACAACAATATTAACCCCCCAAAACGACAACTATATCTGACGAAACAAATACGCTTTATGGACAGAATAAAGAGAGTCAAAACATGTTTAGTGTTCAAGTAAGAACGTGCACAATTTAATATCAATTTCTTGCATTTCATCAGAATCTTCAAGTACTCTCCCACTATTCACAAATAGAAGAAAAGCACGACATGAACAATGAACTTAATCATGATAATAGTGATAATAAATCTTCGTCATATTTCGTCGCATAAACACATGGGTTACATATTACTGTACAATAATCATGTAACATACTATCATATATAATATATGAATTTGCCAGAGCCTTGTACGTACGCAAGCGATCCACCAAGCACGAATTGAAATACATCCTTACATCCTCCCATCAACATAAATATCATCAAATATTTTGGAAAGAGTGACAAAGAAAAAAAAACATTGCGAAGATGTATCAAATATATATAGACTGCAACTTTTTTGTTCAAAATATGAAGAACATAGTAAAAAAAAAAAGAAGTTCTTTTGCCCCTTAGCTATAAATGCTACAAAATGGCAACCATGCATACAAAAGGAACTCAAGTATTGTTCAAGGAAAAATGGTGGGGGAAGAAGTCGAAAAGAGTCCCAGTTTACTCCCGCCCCGGTCACAAGTAGGCTAAACAGGGGCACGGCAGTCTTGGGACTCTGTTCTTAAAGAATAAAAGAAAATAATAAAATGCTGGATTAAGATCCATATCACCCATTCTAATATCATAAACCAAAAAGAGGGAGAGAGAAAAAAAAGGAATCCGCACATTATTTCGTACAAACATTAGTACATTGTGGTAAAAACATTTTGCAGCAGTTATACTTATACTTATACCATATGCGGAATACTTCGTATAAAACAGTTTAATTCTCGTGAAACCCTCTCTTTATTGTGACGTCATAAGAACTAACGCAGGGTAGAGCGTGTCAGGAGATGATACAAAAAGATAAATAAGCGCACCTTTACATTTAAGTTGTATATTTTACCTTAAAAATGTATAATAAAAGAAGAAAGGCAATGGAATCATCGTTCTTGTTATTTCTGTAGAAACGGAATAAATTAATTTGCAATACTCCTGGTTCACAATACTTTCTGAAAGATTGAAGTGAAAATGAAAAATAATTACATCACTAAAAGATGGTGGACTTTCACGAGAGGTGATGCATCATGGTAGAGCTTTTAAGTGATTTGCGGGTGAGCAACGGAGAGAGTGTCGGAGAGAGAGAGAGAGTGTGGGAGGGAGGGAGAGGAGAGAGAGAGAGAGAGAGAGAGAGAGAGAGAGAGAGAGAGAGAGAGAGAGAAGAGAGAGAAGATTTCTCCGGCCCATTTACGCGGGCTGTATAAACAAAGGCGCCTCTCCCGAAGGTAGGCGCAAAAATTATCTCACTTTGTAGGACTACATTTCTGACATCTCCCGACGGCTTCTGCTAAGTAACAATCAGCTTTTTAACGAGGCTGCGCGGCGAAGGGGGGTAAGGCATTAAACCAAGACTTGGCGTAAATGGGTGAGGGGCTTTTTTTTGGAGGAGAGTTTTGTTCTCAGGATAATAAGTATAATCAAGTTTTGGAGAGTGGAAGAGAGAGAGAGAGAATGCAAAAAGGATGTACGACAAACGTAAGTTTGTAAATATAAGACTTGAGTCAAAATAAATAGAGGAAAAGTGGAATGCAGCACTGGTCAGAACTATGAATAGAGAGAGGAGATAAGGACACACAGATACAAGGTATGAGAAAGAGAGAGAAAGAGGAATACAGAAATAAAAATATAAATGAGAGAGAGAGAGAGAGAGAGAGAGAGAGAGAGAGAGAGAGAGAGAGAGAGAGAGATAAGGAGGAAGATTGGGGACCCAGCAGCTGACTACACACAATCTCATCAATTAACTCAAGTCCATTTTTGGATTGCATACATGCCCGTCGCTTAGAGCAGACGAACTTCGCAATCAACTTCACGCGCGCAATTTCATTAAAGTGGACAGATCGTGATGGGGGTCGCCATTTTGAATTGAACCACGTCACTCCAGCTCTCCACTCCCCCCCCCCCCCCAATCTCTCTCCCGTCATTCCTATTTCTCTCACTCAGACGTAATTACTTTCCAAGTATTTGAAGGTTAGACAGGCTAATTAGATACGATTGTACATTGCCCGAAGTGTTTCGAATAAAATGATCCGGTTCCATCTGATATTAGGCATATAGGTTGTCTGCCGGTAGAATGTATGATCAGTGAAAGCACAATTAATTAATTTCGCTCGTCCATCCGGGGTGCGTCCTCCTCTCGCACATTGTATCCTGTCATGAGTTAATGAAGAGAGCTGATAGTTATGAAGAGTGAGACACGTCCAATAATGCTCCTGTCAATGAAGAATGATCATGTTTTCCAAAGCACGTTATTATTACATGGCCGGTTATAGATATGACATGGTTGTCAGAGAGAGGACTAGTTCCATTTCATTTTCTCCTCCTTCCTTTCATTATACGCTGCGGTTTTCTCATAAAAACCGTTGAGCGACGAGAATCCTTCACAAACACGGGGTTGTAATACCAAGCTGCAGCAACACACACACGATAAAAACGACGAAATATAAAGACCGTGTCCACTTAGCAATCAATCCAGTCACGATGGCTTCAGTTCAGCTAGTATAAAAGCTCATAGCGATTTCAGTGCAGAAGAAATTAAAAATGATTTAGAAAAACAACCATTTCGACATCAAGCAATGTTCATATTTAGCATCGTTGTCACTCAGTCGTTTTGACGAAATTGACAAAGCATTAGCAATATGACAGGACGGCTACAAGACTCGTTTTTTCTTCTTCATTTCAATGCTACATTTTGTCATATTCTTTCTCAAAAGTTATCCCAGCGTTGCCTTTTTTGTTTTTAAAGATTCAAACCCTGGTTTAGAAACTCCTTGATAAAAACTGTCATGATAATTATGTTCATATAATAAGTGCAAAATAGTGCGAAAACATCGATACCACTAAATATAAAAACAATTGTCCATTGATGCTAGCGATTGTGATTTCATTTAGTTCACATAGTCACGTGGTCGTCACGACGATCCTTCGACCATAAACGATTTAATTTCCCGACGATTTTTTTTTTAAAGGAATATTTTGATTTTTCCTTTCTGCCGTTTCCTGGACGAATTCTGATTTTCGTCGGTGGGGTATACTTCGTGCGCCATCTCATAGCGTCCATAGCAACGACATGCGTGTCGAAGGTCACATGTTAAAGTCACGACTTTCATCTCCATTCCGTTCTTCGAATACATAAGTCCTTTGGCGTGAATATGTACAGTCCATTTATAGCTTGATGCCTGTCAGCGTTGCCAATCTGAAGATCGTCATCGCGTCAGGATCCTTCAAAGATAGAGAGAGAGATGAGGCTCGTTCATGAAGTCTTAATTAGCAAACCTGCAGCAAAAGAGATAACAAAAGAACATAATAAGAAAGAATTACATTTTTATTATCAAACGTCTGCTGTAATTGCAAAATTCATTTCATTCGAAAATTAATTAAAAACATGGAGCATGCTTGTGCCCTAAATTGACAGCTATAATTATCCGTGCCCAGTCACCCGTTGTCATGTAATTGCAGTTGACAACCGCAATAACCTGAAATATGATATATGTAGTGGCGTTTTGAATGCTTATTGAATCTTTCTCATTAAATAGGCATTCTGTCAATGCAGTTGACAATCTTTATTAGTATTTATTGTTAAACCCACTAGCGAGGTCCTATACAATGTTATTACTCATTTTTGGAAAGGGACGTTTTCTGTGCCGTGTGACAGCCTTAATTTGACCAACGAAATGCCTATAATAAAAGGTAGATTATGGGTAAATATTGCAAGGTAGAGGAGGATTAATGAATAGAGCAGGCAGCCATCGGGGAACAAAAATAAGAAAAGTAACGATGCTCATATGAAGTGAAGAATGAAAGTAGTGGAATTACAGGTTTATAAATGATATGTCATTGAGTGACAGGATTAGCCAGACTGACATTGAAAGTATTCATGGCAAGGAATATTAACCAACACAAAAAAAAACGATTTAGAAAAATTATGAAAAGGGAGCTTACTTCAGAGAGGATAATGATGAAAAACGATAACAAGGAAGGTTAAAGAGGATTCGATGAAAAAAAAACATATTCTACAACGTTTTTAATGATGATGTACCTCTCTGAGATATCACAAGCATTCAAGACACAGTGATATTACAGGATGGTTCAGTAAAGACAGTCAGTGACAGAAAGAGAAAAGAAAAAACCAAGTCCCAATACGAACATTAATTCCCTTTCAATCAAAATGCTCATTTTGTAGGTGCACTCAATAAAGCGGGCAATTCTCCTCGAATTAAACGAAAATTGTCCCTCCATCAAGCACTTGAAAAGAGAAATTACCCTAAATTTCCTTCGATAAACATGACACAATAGCCACAAACAAAGATGACAATGGGTCCAATTTATTCGCTATTTACTCCGTTGATTGGGAACCTTTAAGGTCATTTCGCGCTGCTAGCCGAAACAAAATTAAATTTGCTAAATTCACTTTAGTAAATGTTGACTATACAACCTTGGTTATAATGGGGATATTGTAATGGAACCCATAGGAATTCCGCTTATGCAAATGAGTTAAAAAATATAATGTATTTCGGTGCATTAATCTCCTGACGAAAAAGGACGGTGTTTTATTTAATCTCTCAATTACGTCGTTACGATGGCTGCCCAACGCTAGATAAGGTTAATACTTTAATAGTTCTCTTGCATCGAGGCAAAAACGATTCAGTAATTAAATAGATTGAACATTTTTCATCATCTGGTCGCGAAGTAAACGGTTCTCGACGTCACTTAATGGCCATACGGGCAACATGGAATGATAGATTTGAAATGGCTTCGTTTAAGGGTAGTGATATTCATGCGAGTTAAGAACTAATCTAGAGGCAATCTCATGTTTGCACGGAAATTAAAGCTCATTCACTCTAGTGTTTGAGCCCAGGCTAGATCATGAACGCGCACACGTACATAGATACGCCTGCAAATATTGGTATAGCAAACATGGGCACGGGGGCGAAAATATTAATGCGCGCCAAAATCATTCTTATATCGACTTCGTTATGGGCGATAAGACGACGTGTCTTTTCATGCCAAAGAGGGAGGGGAAAATCTCTCGCTTAACATCCGAATTGTGTCTTTAGTTAACGCGAGGCGACGACGACACCCTTTTGTGTGCTCCTATAAATGCGGCATTTAAGGGACGGGAAATTAATAAGCAAAATCAATCAAGCAATGCGCAGGAAACTTGGGGTTTTCTTTCACGGTTCGCCAGGGTTCTTTCATATTCTCCCTTTCAGGTTTCTGAATCATTGTGCATCCATTTGAATTGTAACCGCTCTAGTATCCACTAATGCAAACGGTACCCATTTCTTCCCGTCGTTATCGTGTAATTAATACTAATAATAGCAATCGAAAAGCAATTATGAACACTTGGTTGAAGCGCGGACAATGGATTGAATATCGGCAAGCCCTTGCACGCGCCCCTAAAACTAATTACGACCGCTTTTCGATATAAAGTCTCTTGGCTCGCAGGCGTGACGCGCGCGCGCGCTTTCCTTCTTTCGCGCTGTGGAAGCCATGAGGGTGAATAAAAAGCAGAGCGACTTGGAAGGCTCTCGCAAACTGAAATGAAAACAGCTCCTAGACGAAAACTTCATTTGAAGGCCCTGGAAGTTATCGAATGAGATGCTATAAGACGAAAAGAGGTAACTGAGACCGTTCAATAACGTCTTCCTCACTCGAGATGCAAGGCATAATAGCTCGAAAACTGTGTCACAGCACTTGACTAGCCTCGATTCAGGCAAGAGCAATGTCGGAGGAAATTGAGTCGTTTTTTGGCTTTCTCTCTAAACCTGCCCCATCTTGCATCAGCTGCGGTGATGCGTGAATTACTTCTTGCTACTTTGGCGGCCTTGCGGACCAAGTCTGTCAAAATAGGCCAATCGATTCGAACCCATCACGACGCATAATTGATAAGCAGATAATTACATTATCATTACTCAAATTCCCCACAGCAAACGATGCCCTTATTAAACAAACCGCTCGCTTCCCTCTTCTCTTATTTTCCCTTCTCCGGTGGAGCTTCTTGTTATTAAATGATCAACGACACTGAGGTTTTGGGGTATATACCCTTGGCCTTTCTGACAACTCTGTTTGTTCAGCGGGGTGGTGCTGGTCTAATCCTGCGCCGAGAGTCGACCGGTCTTTTCTCCGTCTCACGCGTGGCCCATTGCTTCCAGCTCTCTGGCTCACAACACAGGCAATGACTATTAATACACCTCATATAAACGTGTATCTCACCTCCCTGCTTGCTTCAAGCAAGAACCCAATTTCAATATTTTACGACGTCTTTACCCTCTACTTTACAATGAAAAGAAACCTGATAAGTTTTTTCCCTTCTAATTTCGTTCCAAAATGACAAAAGGAGCAGGGGCGGAACTGATTGAAAAGTAACCAATTTAGCATTGCGTGAAACATTGCGTGTGTCATTAAGATAATATTTCTCCCCTCTTAATCTCAAACTCATCCTTCTTCATATCTCTCCACTTAAACAGTTATTTCGGAAGAGAGAAAGAAAGGAGGAGGAGGAGGAGGAGGGGGAGAGAGAGAGAGAGAGAGAGAGAGAAAGAGAGAGAGAGAGATTGGAGAAAGAAAGAGAGATTGGGAGAGAGGGAGAGGTGCACGGGGCTCGTATGCCCATTTTTTTAACCAACGGTTTGACGGGCTGAGGGTGCTTCGTACATATTACACTTTAATCACCCCAACATTTGGTATCTACATCCTCCTCAATTCTTCTGATTCCTCCCATCTTCTTTCCCGTCAACTTCCGTTTCTTCATCATCAGATCATGAACCCCTCCTTAAGTAACTCGAGTAAGATATTTTAAGTTATAGCTCTGCGTAAATGGTTAGAGGGAGTACCTCGGCATTCGTGCCCCTCTGTACATTTCATAGCTTATGTGGAAAATGGAAGAGAGGAGGGAGGGGGGGGGGGGCTTCCTATAAGGTACAATGAAGCAAGGTCACGGTCGGGGTTGAGTCCTTAGGGAGGAAACGCAAAGGAAGGGGATATTCTATCGGTGGCGAACCTAATCACTTAGCAGCCACTAATTGCCACAATTGGAACCGCTGAGATATCGAGTGAATAAATACAGCCTTATAGTATTGGAAGAGGAAATAGACGGAGAAAAAGCCAGAGAAAAGTGTAAGACGGGAGGAATAGGAGGAGTAGGAGGAGGAGATGGAGAAGGGTGGGAAGGAGAATGATGAGGAAGGGCAGAATATGGGGAGGTAGAGGAGGATATAGAGAAGGAGGGAGATAAAGAAGAGGAGGAGGAGAAGGAGGGGAAGTAGGAGGTAGACGAGGAGGAGAGGTAAGAAGAGGAGATGGAGCCATTGGAGGCAGAGACAATCACTTCAGAATGGTTTCCCGAGGAAAAGTCATTAGAAACAAGACCCTTGACAAAGCTTTTCAGCTAATGAAACCACAACAACACCGCTCATTAAAACGGAAACAATAATTGCTTATTAAATGTAACCTTTCATACTCAACTGAACAATAAGACTTAAAGTGAAAATCAATTAATTTCAATTATCTCAGAGGCAAACTAATCAATCTATCGAACAGTGAATAATTAAATGTAAATAAGACAAGTGAAAGCCACCCAGCATGCATCTATGGTGATTTAACACGTTTCCTAATTACAAATTTTCAAATGCGGTTACGGGGTGGAATTTTCATTATTATTATTATCATTTTTTTTTTGGGGGGGGGGGGGGCACAAGATATCTCTGCGGATGCGGTGAAGTTGACGGACTAAAAACGAAAGTCGACTAAAAAGAAACTCGCCCGATTGACCTGGATCCTAATCTAGACCAATATTAGGCCCCGATCTGCGGTGGTGGTGAGGAAGTTGCGGTGAGAGCCAAGGTGGGGGCAGGAGTGACGAAAATAATATTTCTCGATTTGAGCTTGACCTCTCCCGTGCGTATAAATGCAAGTAATACGTTTTTTTCTTCTTCACAATTGAGGTGTTGAATTCACAGGCTGAGGGATTGGATGTGCAGAACCGATTTTATTCAACACTGACGTATAGAGTTTTCTTGGTCTTTTTGCAGCAGCGAAAGGGACTTCTTCAATGCTATTCTCGCGATTCCAAACTGCTCCATTGAGCTGTAATTGAAATACTTTGATTGAAATAAGTTTCGTCACCCTAAAACAGTGCACAGTCATCTTGCAAAAAAGTAAAAACGCATTTCCTCACGCTATTTTCAGCAAGTACGGAATCTGAAGTGTAGGCACCACTCATTTCAGTGTGACACCACCCACCCCTCCCCCTTTTTTTGTTACCGCAAGGGGTA